TATGTTCAAAGTAGACAGATCCCTTGTGCGCACCGACATTTGGCTCTGTCTGCTGAGCTATTAAGTCACCACTTACATCATCCCAAATGCTCTATCTGGCCGGAGTGTGGGGGGCCTTCGGGGGCAAATCCCTTGTGCGCACCGACATTTGACTCTGTTTGCTGAGTCATTAAGTCACCCTGACTTACATCCTCCCACATGCTCTGTCGGGTCGGAGTATGGGGGCCTTTGGGGTTGGGATTCAACCTTTTGGAAGAAGAAAAATAATCTATTGGGGTAACCCCAACCAGGTTATTCAGCCTATTAACTTGATAACCACAATGTTTCACGTTAGGTTCCCAGTTGGAGTAAACTATTGACCTTATTAGTTTAATTTGAACTGCAACTTAGACTGGTTTAGTTTATTGTTTTACCAGTTAGGATCACAATAAGGCAGGATTTACTCACTGTACGCCCTGGCTATGCTATAAATATGAGAGAGAAGAAACAGAAGCCATCCAACCTAACTAACCCATTGCACCTAATTAAGTTTGAATGAAGTTAGCCATTTTAAAGGAGTGTATACCCCAGCTTGATGTTGAATGGTGATAGGGAGATTTTTGTTTACAACATAAATAACAAAGTCAGTCGTGGGTTCCACGTTGTCCTCTCCCATTCTTCCTCAACCATCCAATATGCCCTTCATTCTGATCATTTTCTTGCAAAAAAAGTTGTGCTTTTCTACCTCCATCATTTATAAACCACGAGCTAGCCTAAAATTGTGGAACAATATATAGTGCAAGTTTCGAAGAATAATATATATGTTGTTTATGCATGGTTTTTGACCGTTCAATTATCACCTTAGAATTTTAGTAGATGCTGTCAGATTATTTGTTTAGACTTTTAGTCGAAGTAGATTATATCATTTTAATTTAGTATAATCAATCCTACGCAGAAAGTCATATGTCCAGATCTCTGCATCACCTGATAAAAAGAGACTAAAATTTACTTGTTGCTTGAAGTCCGTCCATGGGAGGAGGTGTTGAGCCATGCATATAATATATAAATAAGTACGCTTCAGGTATTAGTTGGAGCTCGCACATATGAGATGATGTTAAGAAATATAATTTAATAAATATAAATTTACAGTTTAACTATTAATTTAACTTTTTAATTGAGATTGAATAAATCTTTCATTATATCCCTTCCGAGATGTGTTCCCCATATCAAGAAATATCATTTAGTTATTACACTAGAAAATTTTCCCAAGTAATCAAATATATACTTAGTTGAGTTTGCAAGTTAAGTTCATATCATATTTAGTCCTCTTGATTTTGTTTTGTTTTGTTTGTTTTTTTTTTTTTTTTTTTTTTTTTTTTTTTTTTTTTTAAAATTTAGCCATCTATCATATAATTTGTTTCTCTATTGTAATTTTTTGTTTGAAACATTGTTTCTCTATTGTTAATTTTATGAAAAGTATGTAAATTTTGAATACCATGACCCTATTTGATAAATGGTTGTTAGCTGATAGTTGATAGCAGTTAGCTGATTAGGTTAATTATAGGGTATAACTAGTTGATAACATTAGCTGATTGTTGAAAAATATTTGGTAAATTAGTTGTTAGTTGATGGATGTTTGGTATAAGTTAGTTATTAGGAGCAGCTTTTTTGAATTTTTGAATTTTGAAATTAATTTTTTTAACCAAGTAAAACAATTAATAGTGGTTAAATAAGTCAAAATTGACGGATAAACTAATATTTACCAAACAGGGCTCATATCTTATAAGAGTTCTACTACATAGACTCTCAAATCATACTTCTTAAATTTTACTCCCTGAAATTACTGATAGACTACTTTTTTTTTATGTGCGTCTCAATACAAGTATCTACATCAAGATTTTGTGTGCGAGAGAAAATTAAAAGTACAAAATAGAGAACATGTATATTTTCCATATTATAACAATCAACAATTACTACTCTGGCGTGTAGATTCTGACATTTAATCTTCATTATTGATTGGGTTGGGGTTTGCAATTATTCTCAGTGAATTTACAAATATACCCATAGAGTTAACAATAAGGAGGCAATTTACGATGATTAATTTTACTAAAATCAAGAAACTCAATGCCTTAATGTAGCCAAGTTATCGCTAAAAAGTTAAGCACTGCAATTAAAAACTAAACTTGGGCTATATTTTACGGAGCTTATTTAGGAATTTATAACTTATTTTAAGTTACTAATAAACTATAAGTTTTATTTAATAATGTTCTTAAAATAAGCTAGTAGTTTAAAATAAGAGCTTATTTTAAAAAGCTATTACCTTAAATAGCGTTTAAAAAATAAGTCAGTAGTTTTCTAACTTTTTTTTTTTTTTTATCTGTATACTCATCATTTAAGATAGATGACATCATTAACCCTCTCAATTAAAACCCTTTTGGCATTTTCTCTTTTCCTATATTTTTATTTATCTTTCCACAACTCTTTAAAATTTTAACTCTAATCGTCCATTCAGAAATAAATGACATCAATTACAATTCAAAATTAAAATTTTTTTTTAATTTAATATATATCTCAAATATATTATAAAAATAATTTTTTTTATAAATTAAATATATCTCATATATTTAATAATATAAAAATAATATAATAATCACATAATTTAAATTTTATGAAAACATCTTTTTTAATATTTTTACATTTATCAATTTATCAAAAAGTTAATTTTACCAAACACTTTTAAGCATAATTAGCTAGTTAACAACTCTTTAATTTTCAACTTATAACTTATAGTTTTTCAGCTTTCAACTACCTTTTTCAGCTATGTTTACCAAATATAGCATTGGTATTAACTCTTTTCAAGATAATTAAATAATGAGAAACTGAAATAATAGTCTAATGAGTTAATTCTCAAAATGGTCCTCCGACTATGACATTATCTCAAATTGGTTCCTTGACTTTTAATTGCACCTAAGTGGTCCTCTGACTATTGAATTTTAAGCCAAAATGGTCTTCCGTTAATTTTAGTGTTAAGTGGGTGTTAAAATGATGGGTAAAGCGGGTAATTTAGGGTTTTCATTATAATCAAAGGACTACTTTGTGTGCAATTAAAAAGTCAAAGGACCAATATGAGAAAATGTCATAGTCGGATGATTATTTTAGAAATTTGTACTCATTTTGATTAAAAGAGGTTGATCTTGTACTTATTTTCATTTTCTAAATAAACTATCTTTTTACTTTAATTGTTAGCTAGAAAATTATTATTTTTTAAAAAATAACTTAGAATAATAATTTTGATTATTAGCCTAGTACTTATATATAGTTGTACAAACTGACATTAATTTTGGATTAACTCTTTATTATTCAGTAATGCTTGACATTATGTATTTGGATTTTGACTTTCCATGATCATAAATAGGCATACATGATACATATAATGACAAAACTATTGTAAAAAATTACAACCAAATGGACAACAGACATAAACCATTACTTATTAAAAAAAAAGGACAATTGTTAAATTCAAATGGATAAGAAAGATAATAATAAAAAAATCATTGTCTATTACAAAAATACAATATGGGTTAGAACAAAAAATGTTGGTCAGTGGAGGCGAGAAAAAAAAAACTTCAAAACGTGATAAAAGAATATTTATAATAAAATATGAAATTGTTAGAATAAATTGTATATCATCGCTATTAATATTATATTCATAAATACTTTTTAATTTAATTAGGTCAATTCTAAGTATTTTATATTAATTTAAATACGATAATACACAATTGAAATTTTTAGATTATATTAACTAGATAGTTCATAAAAATGAATTATATATATATATATATATATATATTAACTAGATAGTTCAAATTGGTCCTCTGACTTTTAATTGCACCCAAAGTAGTCCTCTGACTATAGTAAAACACTGAATTACCAATTTTATCTCTCATGTAATCACTCACTTAACAGTTAACACCAAAACTAACAGAGGTTCATTTTGACTTAAAATTCAATAGTTTGAGGACCACTTTGAGTGCAATTAAAAGTCAAGAAACCAATTTGAAAAAAGATCATAGTTGGATAACCATTTTAGGAATTAACTCTAGTCTAATCGTGTAAATATAGTGTCTGAAAGCTTTGAAAAATAAAACCACTACAATCTCGGTTGCCTTCGCACCGGAGAAGGCAATGGTTGCCTTCTCCGGTGGGAAGACAATTGAGTTGCCTCTTCGCTCCTCCGTTGATTCACTGGCGATCGTAGAATTTTCGCTGATTACTTTATTGTCAGAAATATCGTTGGTGTTGATCGGAACTCTAATGACCTGTGATAGCAGGTTATCGATTTTTATTGCACCAGAATGCAATATTGAAGAATTTAATTTTTATTTTTTTTTAAGTTTAAGAGTCTAATTGACTTTTTAGCATGGTTGCAAAAATCGCGCCCCGTCGCCGCCGCGAGGAAGGCCGGAATCGGCGTTGAATTTAATTTAATTTAATTTATTTATTTATTTATTTATTTTTTTTGCGTTGTAAAATGGGAAAAGTTCGGGAAGGCATAACTTTTGACTTGGTTGTCCGTTTTGGACAATTTTTTTTTTCAAATCGCGTATTTTTTTTTTTTTTTTAAAATGCTTCTTTTGCTCTTAATTTTAATTTTTTATGTATTTAGATAGTTTAAACAATCTTTTGAACACTTTTACAACCACTTACGTAAATAGTTTGTAAGAAATAACTATGGAAGCCTTATGTTTTATTACTAAATTTTAAAAATTTTGAATTTTGAATTTTATTTTTAATTAAAAAATAAAAATAAAAAATCGGCGCTAATCGACTCATAGGGGGCGCCTAACCTTTTTTGCAACATTACTTTTTAGGTAAATGGGAGTTTATTTGTCCATTTTTCCAAATAAATATAATTTCACTGCTTATTCCTACTCGTCTTCCATTCTTTAATCTCAACTACTGTAATGAAGTGAATGTATTGGCTTAAATGACATGACGAGAAAATGAATCCCAAATTGACATGAAATGCAAATGTAATTCCCTTGCATTCAATCATTTCTTCTTAGTATATATACATTTCCTCCCCCTCCAATCGAGCTCTACGTTTATAGCTACCATTTCCTGCCGGAGCTATAGAATACACAACATTCTAATTAAATTTCCTTATTTGGTCACCGGAAAATCAAGAACTCCGGTAGCACATACTGTTATGAATATATAATATACCTTCGTCGTTCTTCGCCGGAAAATAAAGATTTGTTAAACGCGACATGTATAGCGGTGAACGGTGACGAAAATGGCTAAGGGTAGAAAGCTGACTGCTAGTTGGAGCGAGAGGCTGTTAGGTAGTTACAGTTACAGTAACAGTGACAGCCATGGAAGGATCGCCGGCTGCGAATCGGAGCTCGGAGAAGACGACGTGTGGTCGACGGTTGATGGGATGGCGAACGATCGGCGGCGCGGGGTGGATAGTAGTGAAAGTGGAGAGTGGAGCCCACGCGCCGGTTCCGAGAGTGGCGGAAGCTTTGATAATTTCAGGAGCCGCCGCCACCGCCCGCGGGTCCCACGTACGGAGCATCACCGCCTCGATGACGGCTCATCTTTGACTTTTGAAGATTTAGGTGAAACGACGCCGTCTGGGGTCGTTCATCAGTTTCGCGGACAACATGACGGCGTAACGGCGGCGCCGACAAATGTACGACATCTTTCCACTTCAGTCCCGGTGAACATTCCCAATTGGTCAAACTTCAACCGAGTTGACTCGGTTGAGTCCTTTTATGATTCTGATTCTCATACCCATAATCGCGACTTTGAAATGGTCCCACCACACGAATATTTGGCACGTGAGTATGGAAGAACATCCGCAAATTCAATGTGCGAGGGCGCAGGTAGAACGCTTAAGGGCCGAGACATGAGTCGAGTACGAGATGCTGTTTGGAGCCAGACAGGATTTAATGGATAATATGGTGATTGATGATATTTGTTGGATGTTATTATAAGGAATGGAATTTGATTATATTGTTGCTAGTATATTATATTCTTTTTGTTGGGCAAATGGTACACTTACTCAATGAGTCAACCCGGTCGTAGTTCAGCACATACAAACATTATTATAATTATTAAAGCCTCCCATTGTTTAGGTATGCAGTTTGATTGCAAATTGTACTACGTTGGACTTTACAAAAAAAAAAAAAAAAGAAAAGAATAATCATTTATATGTTGAAGTAACATATATACTTTAGAGGCAAAAGAGCTATATATTGATATCAAGAGAAAAAAGTTGATTCTCAAAATGTCCTACGACGATGGTCTTTTTATAAATTGATTCATTGACTTTTAATTGTATTTAAAGTGGTCCTTTGACTATTGAACTTTAAGCCAAAATGGTCTTCTGTTAGATTTGGTGTTATGTAGGTGTTAAAATGAAGGGTAAAAAGGACATTTTATATTGTTTGTTGTTTAGAGCTTTGACCTGCTGATTACTTCTCCAAATTAGTGAAAAGATTTTTCCCAACGGAAAATCGCAATTAGCTAGGTTTATATTCTTTAATTTGGGGATAATCTTTTAACTAATTTGGGGAAGTAATCGGCAGGTCAAAGCTCTAAACAACAAACAATATAAAATGTCCTTTTTACCCTTCATTTAAACACACACTTAACACCAAATTTAACGGAGGACTATTTTGACTTAAAATTCAATAGTCGGAGGACCACTTTGGGTGCAATTAGAAGTCAAAGAACCAATTTGAGAATTATCTCCAAGTGAAATCAACCGCCACTACATGAGAATGTATTTGAGATAATTGTATAATAGTCAGCAAACCACACATGAGAGGTATTGCACTAAGAGACAATACCATTGATGTCCCTCATGCCCCGATCCGATAGAGTTGAATCATAGTAACTCAGCTGGACATAGAGGCTAATGCTGCACTAAGAGACTATACCACGGATGCCCCCATGCCACGGCCTGACAGAGCTGAATCATGGTACCCAGCTGGACACAGAGGCTACTGATGCACTAAGAGACTATACCATAGATGCCCCCATGCCCCGGCCCGACAGAGCTGAATCATGGTACCCAGCTGGACACAGAGGCTACTGATGCACTAAGAGATTATACCACGGATGCCCCCCATGCCCAGCCTGACAGAGCTGAATCATGGTAACCCATCTGGACATAGAGGCTACTGTGTACAATGAGCCCGACTTTACCACGGCCCGACAAAGCTGAATCATGGTAACAGATGGACACACCACGAATGCCCCCCATGCCTGGCCCGACAGAGCCCCCGTCACTTTGAGAGGTTGTTCATTTGCTTACTGCGCACAATGAGCCCCCCTCACTTTGAAAGATTGCTTTCACACTGCTGCTGGTGAGACTCAATCCCAGGTCATTGTTCTCAAACTTCACCACTGTGACCAACTGAGTTGTACATGCGGACTAACACCTAATCTTTAGGTACAAGAGTAATATTCCACCTACCCAACCATCACTTTTGGGTCATTTTATTATTTTGTTTTTGTTTTTGTTTTTTTTGTTTTTTTTTTTTTTTGTTTTTCATTTGAAATCTCTACTAGCATTGTATGCTTTAATTGATCTGGAACAAAAGTTGAGTCACGGTTTCCATAACTCTTTTTTTTTTCTTTTTTTTTTTGGTTAATTAGTTAAAATAACTTAGAAAAAGAAAAATAAAATTAATATTCTATGCCCGAATTCATACTTTGTGTATATCTACTCAAGTAAACATCCTAGTAAACCAAATATATTAATACAGCATCAATGTACTAATTCAAAGGTTAATAATAAAACGGATAACATTATATGAACTCTCATTTTATACTTCACACTCAATTTTGTGATGCAGACACTTCTTTTAAGACTTGCATGATAAAAATATTTTTTATCATTATTTTTCATATCATGAAGTAATATAAGTGTGAATGAAGGCTATAAGCCATTACCCTTTACTAATGTAAATTTTTTATGTTATTTTTTTATTTTATTTTATACATTAAACTATAAAAGTTGTATTATATAATATTTTAGTAAAAAATTACATCTACCATTATAACTTCCGGTATCTTTTTCAATTATTGTTACCATGCACAAGTATCCACCATATATATATATATATATATATATATATATATATATATATATATATATATATATATATATATATATATATATTATCTTTTTCAATGGTATAATATATAGACATTATATAAACGATACTACTATATAAGTCAGTTCTTAAAACATAAATATCAAATTTATAAAATAGTTTACATTATTATTATTATAAAATAATATAAGTATATATGTAAAATTTAAATAAATTTAAGATTTTAATATAAATTATTAATATTGAATATCTATTTTTACGTATCGCGTAAAAAAATAGTTACATGTAATAAAACTTAACTAATTATATATATATATATATATATATATATATATATATATATATATATATATATATATAATTTTTGGCTACCTTTACAGGGAAAAGGACCTAAGTCCATTGATTATTTGAATATGCTCACAGGTGTTTTTGAGCCACTTGTTCTTTGTACTCACTCCATCCACAAATGCTCTTTGGATATTTTAATGGGTCCACGGACCACGGTGTATTCTCTAGGACAAAATTTGCTTATATCTAACATCTTAATCAATAACGACTTTTATTGGGCGATTTTTTCCCTCAATTTTTGAATTACATTCGTTGATTTGGAAGAGAGAAATAAGAGGATAGAGAATTTGCAAGCTCTATTGCTTAAAAAGTCGGCATGACTATATATATATAGTATCATGTGCTATGAGTTTGACTGAAAAAATATTGACAATTTAATAATTAAATTTATAACCTTTAGAAATGAAATTATGCTATACTCAACCGATCATGAATTTATGGACAATTAAACTATATAAACTACCAGGACTATGTGGTCCAATGGTACCCGGGTTGGACTTCCATTTGGAAGGTTGTAAGTTCGAGCCTCAGTGGAGGCGTTATTAGCTCTTTGTGTTTCAGTAGGTTGAGAAAGTATATGAACAGATACTACAGTGTAATAGAGCTAGTAGCATTCAAAAAAAAACTATATAAACTTGTGAATATATTTCAGGGTTTTATTCTTGTGGTCATGGAGGAACCAATCAAATCCATCAATTTATTTGATTGAAATTGGGTGATGTAGTTAATAATGTCAGCGTTCAATTGTCTTTGTTGTTGGCCTGGGGGTTTGAGGCATTCAATGACCTCCTCTAGTCTCGCTTTCAATTTCATTTTCATGAGAAAGGAAAGGGTAATCTCGGAAAATAATATTTTATGAAGGATCCGATGAAGGTCATAATCTTTTCAACTTGTAGATATTCAAATGAAACTTAACTCATATGAACTAAAAAAAATTTTAAGTGATAATGAGTGGTGAATCAGGTTATGTTTTAAAAGTAAACCCGATGTAGATTTTATATATAAATGTTGCAGATGTGTATGGCATTTAATAATTAATAGTAAAATAAGTAGTAATTGTTGGAAAAATAGCTTAAAATGGCATATTGAGTGGCTATTTTGTGGTACAATATCAGTGGGGTTCACTTTCAATTTGGATCGGGTCAAGTGGATTCGGGTTCTTCATAGTGAGACGAAGAGATTCATATATTGTATGCTCAAAACGAATAATGGGTAAATGAGATATTGATTCTTAAATTAGACCCATTTGAGTTGGAAAATGAAGGGAAAAAATGCAGCTTTTGTCCCACATTAGTTTGGGAAGTGGATTTGCACCACTATTTATACAAGAGCTCTTTGAAAGTTTATTAAATTGTGTAGTACAAAGGCTTTCTTATGTGCATAGGGGGTGCAAATCAAATTCTAAAATAAAATAAGATTGAAAAGGTTGTTTTAATTCAGTTGTTATGGAATTAATTTTTTGAATTAAACTCAAGTTAATGGGTTGGTGTTACAAGAGTTAGACGGAGGCAGCAACTTTTACACAAGAAAGAAATCATAATGGGTTGCTGTTACAAGAGTTAGACGGAGGCAGCAACTTTTACACAAGAAAGAAATCATAGTTTCAACTCCAAAATCTCTGCTTGTACTCCTTTCTTTAGCCTACTATGTTATAAGTCTTGCTCTTGTTCGCCGGGTTCAAAGTTTGGGTGCTTAAATGTTGAACCTTAGCACGTTTTATCATGGGAAATCTAGGCTATAACGCTCCTAGCACTTGTGGGAGGAAGCAAATAAGGTTTTAAGGAAAGAATGATTCGCTTGACTCGTGCTAACAACCTACACCAAACACAAGCCATATCTCTTCACCCTTTCCTTCCCGATTTTTCCATAAAATAATAATCTTTTCGTAGGATTATTATTGGGTTTTTACTAACAAAATATCCAACTGTAATAAGTTTAGGAGAACTACAACTCACACTATGTTTTTTTTTAATTAGCTTTAAATAGATAAGTTGTTTGACAAACTTGAATAATATAGCCATTATATTTGATTTTTTTTTTTTTTTTTTGAAAGCAACCATCAAAGGCATATATTAGAGATAAGCAGAAATAGAGTCTGGATGACTAGTCTCCCAGTACAAAGCAGAGGACTGACTAAAAGTCGTAGAAGCTAAAGTATGAGGTAGTAAATTGAACAATCTAAGTATAAAACTAACTAAACAACAATCAAACAAATAATTAATAAAGCTATTATATTTGAATATTTTTATTTAAATATATATAATAATTATTAATTTTTTGAAATTATTTAATAAGATAAAAAATATTAATTGGTACCTACTTCTGGCAGGATGGGATGGGTCGAAAACATCCCATTTCACTAGGGATGGCAGTGTGCCCCGTTCCCGTCGGGGATCCTAGGATAAAAAATTTTGGGGATCGGGGACGGGGACGGGGATACCCCTCCCCGCCCCGCCCCGTCCCCAAAAATTTTTAAAATAAAATTACACAAACACACACACACACACACACATATATATATATATATATATATATATATATATATATATATATATATATATATTGTTGGTGTATGTTTGTGATACTGTAATTACTGTGTGTATTATTGTTGCTTTGAAAGTGAATCATATGACTTGTGGATTGAATGGATTCATATAATTGTTGATGTTTGTGATATATCATTACTGTGTCATACATGCATTACTATTGATCTGAAAAATTAATGATGAATCATATACTTATAGATTTCATTTTTTTTTTTTTAAATTGTACTAGTTTTTGATAGTTTGACTATGGAGTTGACCTGGGATGGAGATTCCCCGTCCCCGTCAAATTCTCCGTGGAGATGGGGATGAGAAATTTTTTCAACTCCCCGTCGGGGACGTGGACGGGGATGGGGTCGGGGTAGCGATGACAGGGAGTATACTCCCCGCCCCACCCCGTTGCCATCCCTACCTTTCACCCCACAATAAAAGGTCGGGAGTCAGAAGTGGGTGGGTATATTACGACCACAGATAGGTCTACAAATGATAAGAAACCTTTCAAGTGACAGCAAACTCCAAATTCACACTTCGAACGTGTGAGAACTCCAAGAAATAACTAAGAAGAATACAATATCAATATATTTCTCTGTGGTTTCGATAATTGACATACAATTGACCTATTTATAATATATTACTAACACCTATAATAATTAAGCTACTAAAATTGTACAAACTATACAATGTAATGATTTATTCTAATATACATAATTTTTTTCTACTAATATGTAATAAATTTTCTTCTAATTACACATCCTAATTAATTGTTTCCTTTTAGGTTCTCCACTAATTAAGACACCAATTATTATTATTTTTTTTTTATGTGTATCACTCTCCAACTAACCCTTCAAAAAACACATTGACCTCAAGGTGTAAAGAGTGACAAAAATAGAACAATGCTTGTACGTGGTGGAAGTTTATGCCACCCTAGCTGGTGGTTGATTTGTAGAAAAAAATGATTCAAAAGATTTTTGAGTGTGATCATGGCTTCTGGTTGGTCAACTCTCTTGACCTGTATTGTCTTGGAATACTTCCATGACATATATAATGACAGATGATCTTGTGAATGTGTTACATGCTCATCTAGTATGAGTCCCACGTCTAAACCATTCTTACTCTTATGTTGGAACGTTCAATGCGATGCTTTAGGTACCCAACTTCATGTTATTGACCTTTATTTAGAGTAAATGCGAGAAGTTTTTTATACAATGTCTGATACACTGATACACTAGAAACTTGATGCAACTTAGGAAATCAAACGGTACACTCCTCGAAATAAATTGGATCAAAAGAAAACTTGACTTGCTTAAGAAAATCCATCCATTGAACGCAACAACCATTACTTTTCATCCAATGGAACCATTTTGAGGCTTTGCCATGAACCATAAATGAAACACAAAAAAAGATGTTGTTCATGAGACACATTATGATATTCAAAAAATTCTTGTGACTAGAAAATCCAAGCACAGGGGTTCTTGCCATCTGTAAGTGTAAAATAATTTACACTATATTGGCTATTTTATTTATTGGCCTTACTAGAATTAATTAAATTAAATTAATGTTGTTAGGTTTATTTCTTTTATGAACCATGTGTGTATAAAATTAGTGGCTAGCATGCATTGGTTAATGATGAAGCATTCAAAGAATAAGATATGTGGTTGGGACTTATTCGAACAAATGAAAGCAAGAAAGATGGCTACGATTGTGGATCAAAAAAGGAACTCATGAAGGATTATAAAAAGCTGCTGTCCGAATGAAGAAGTTGCCAAGCTGATTATTACAAATTTGAGAGAGCTATCCTGATTTACTAAGATATTGATTTTTAATGTGATTTATTATTTAATTCCTAAGAGTATTTAATCTGTACTACATGATCAGTACGTGGTACTGCTGAAACAACTTGTGAAGATTGTTCGGGTATTCGTGTGTCAGTCTTGGATAGGTGTTAGAAAGAGTGGTAGTGGTAAAGGCTGGAGGCCGTATTCATTTACCTCTTGTAATACTCCTTTTGGTGAACATCTATAGTGGATTGGACAGACGTGGGTTGTCCCGCAGACGTAGGAGAAGGAGCTCCGAACTGCGTAACAATTACTTTGTGTTTTTAATTACTTTATGCTTTCTGCAGTTATTATTTATACTTGCTTAAACGAGTTTAAATTAATTAACTTAATTGGTGCATATCTTAATTAACAAGTAAAATCACATAGCTTTTATTTTACAAGTGTCACGGTGCAATTTCACCATCAAATTTTGGAAGATCAATCTTCAAAAAAGAATTGATGCCCAACAATAGGGGATTAGACTACTCAATTCCCATTGATGGTGAAGCATTATTATAGAGCGGAAAATGGACATGGGTATGTGATTTGTGTGGTGCTAAGACTTGTGACGTGTTTGAAGAGAATCAACGGTTTGTGTTAAAGTATGTATAGAATGCTGAAGAGCTTTCAAAGCTTGAAGGTGATGATGGTTCTGGTCATGAAGTTCTTGGCGGATTTTGGACAAGGATTCTATCCATAGTTGAGAAGTTAAAAGAACTAGTGGGGTGTTATAATGACCATGGAAAATGGAGATCAATGAAAGTTTTTTAAAAAAAAATTGTTTGTCGTTTTTTTTTTTTTTTTTACATACTTTTTTCTCTATTGATTTTTTTTTTCCTTTTTTTATATGCAAAGAAAATCAAAGGGATTAAACAATGAAAGAAACTTAAATGCTTTTGGGATTTTTGTTTGGTTTGTTTGTTCGATTTTTTTTTTTCTTTTTTCAAGGGATGTGACAAAAAATAAAAAGATATGGCATACTCTTATCATTGGAATCAACGAAAGCATTAGTTGTTATAGACCCATTAAGACTTTGGTTTAAAAATTGGGCCCAAATAATATTGTCTGACTTAAACCCATGATAGGCCCAATATTTGAAAAGATAACCTCAGTTTCAATTAATTACATGGCTGTTAGTAAATTTGAATTGTGGGCTTACTATTGGGCCAAATTATTCTGCAAATTATTGTGTGGACCATAACAAAAAGGCAAATTCTTGTGTGAACTATGATCCACATAGTTATGTGGATAATGTAATATACATTTTTAATATATTAAAAATATATTATTTGATAATATATAAAAAAAATTATGTACTTTCAAATAATGTACTTTACGTATACAAATAATATACTTTTAGTATATTACAAATATATATTTTATTTATGGTTCACACAAATATATGGACCATGGTCCATAGAATAATGATTGAGTTAATACCCAAAATCGTCCTCGACTATAGTGGTTTTTCTCAATTTCGTCCTAAACGACTTTGGTGACCTAATATCGTCCCAGACTTTTGTGTTTCGCTCAATTTAGTCCTCCATTTGTTATTCCGTCAAATTGGTGTTAAATAAAGGAACAATTAAGTAATGTCAATATTGATCTCTCTTTACTTTTAACTTGTGAAGTGCGAAACTCCTCTTTCTTGTACGAATTACACCCAGAATTACTCCCGGACCTGCAAATCAAATTTTATATTAGCAGTTTTAGGAGTAATTCTGGGAATAATTCGTAAAAAAAAAAAAGGGATTTCGCAGTTCACATGTCTATGAGTAAAGAGATGTCAATATTAAAATTACTGAATTGTCTATTTATTTAACACCAAATGGACAGAATAACAAATGAGGGACTAAATTGAGCAAAAACACAAAAGTCTGGGACTAAATTGAGTGAAACACAAAAGTCTGGGACGATATTAGGTCACCAAAGTCGTTTAGGACGAAATTGAGAAAAACCACTATATTTAGGACAATTTTGGGTATTAACTCAATAATGATTTGTTAATTTTATGCTATGGTTTCCATCGTCAGGGTCCTTTTCAATTTTAGTGAGATTGACAACAACCACAGCCACATGACCACATCGATACATGAACGTAAGAAGATAGCAGAAAAGGAATACAAAATGGTTGGATGAGAGTGGTCATGTTGGGGAATTAAAATATATATATATATATATATATATATAGATAGAAAAGTGCTCATATGTGGTCATGTCATTAGGTGTGGTCATGTGGTCGTATCTGTGTCGTTGAATCAGTTTAATCTAACGGCAGTGGTAATTTTAAGGATTTTCGCGCGTTTTGGTAAGTGGGGGTGTTATGGTAATTACAGTGACCATTTATAGCGGGCGGGTTCCAGAATACACCAACAGTGTTGACAACATACACCAATAGTGTAATAAAACACACCACAGTGAAACACACCAATGGTGTATTCTCGTGTTATGGTAATTACAATGGCCATTTATAGCGGTCGGGTTCCAGAATACACCAACAGTGTTGACAACATGCACCAATAGTGTAATAAAACACACAATAAAATCTTGATTAATATTTCGGTGTTTTATGACGAGTTTACCCTTACAGTTCGCTGGGTAGGAGAATGTGCGCGAAAATACTAAAAAAATCTTGATTAATATGATTCATTGGATCTATCTAATCTAATGGCCTATAATTGACCATATGACCACACCTAACAACATGGCTACATGTGATCACTCCTCTATATATATATATATATATATATATATATATATATATATATATATATATATATATATATATATATATATATATATATATATATATATATATATATATATATATATATATATATATATATTGTGCTCAACCAGAAAATCTATAGTCAATATTTAAGGGTGCATATTGATAAATTTTGTTTTTTTGTGTAAATAATTTGTAAATTATATAAGAGAGATAAATTGTACATAGAAAACAATGTGCGGGCAATGTGCTCGACCAAGAGGGTGTTGATAATTAATTTTATTTTAGATCACTCATTATGGAGCATAGGAATTTAAAATATAAAAGAGATTTTGCCATTCGGACTAGCTAGATTACTTTACCTAAAGTTACTACTTCAGCGGCATTAAAAAAAAAGGAGATTTTGCTAATTCCATCTCAGTCGAACTTATTGTACACGATTTTACTAGCATGGTTTGTTAGTTATTACACATAATCAAAATTTACACAGTACATA